CCCTTGGGACCATCGGTACCCTGCCTGGACCACAGCAACGGCCCACTAGCTGTCTATGGTCTTCTGTGACCCCATTCTAAGTCTTTCCTGAATAGGGACTAGAGTGGACTTTGTGAAACACATCATTTTGTTAAGACACCCCTTTGGGGGGGCCATGATGGATGGGACAAAGCCTAAAGATTCCTGCTACATCTGATGTCCTGCATTTGCTTCCACCTCAGGGCCCACCTCCTATCATCCCTAATCACTGGCTGCTCTTACCTGGCATCCTGCCCCCCAAATACTCTGGAACTCCCTTGCTCAGGAGCTGTCTCCCTGCATTTACTACCTCTTACTGTCCTCCCTCTTTCAGTCCCCAGGATCCCACCCATGGCCAAGGGCTGAGGCCCAGCATTAGGGGAAACACCTGGCCAACCCGAGAAGCAGGCTGACTTACAAGACAGGCTTCTGCCGAGCAGAGCTACCAGCCTCCCCGCTGGGGGTGTGAGCCGGGGAAACCAGAGGGCTGATCTCAGGCCCTGGCCCTTGGCCTAGTGTGTCATGGGGGTCATGCTCAAGAGTCAGCTGCAGCAGGCGACTGGTCTCCTGGATCAGCAGATCAATCTGCGGAGAGGAGAAATGTGAAGTGAGGAGTCCACCACAGTGCTAGTGCAGGGAGGGGGCAAGTGTGAAGGCACCACTGTGATGAGGCCCATACCTCATCCAGGGGTACATTCCGGATGGGTGTGCCATTGATTTCCAAGATCCGGTCTCCAACATGGATGGAATTCTTCACATCAGGGCTCATGCAGCCTGGGTCCACTCTGTGGGTAGAGCAGTGGTCAGGCCAGTGCTTGTCTGTCCCCTGGAGTCTTATAGGAAACTAAAGCCAAGGGGACCACACCAGGGTTAAGGGGGTATAGGATTCTATATCATATGACTGGGAAGTAGCAATTATCCAGAAAATGGAGTTCTGGTTTTGTGAGATGGATTCTGTAATTGATTACTGATGTCTGCCACAGGTGTGAACTGCAGAAAGGTGGCTCACTTGTAGGTATTAGCCACCCACAGTGATGTTCAGCAGCTCCTATTCAGAAGAACATTATCTCTACTGTGGAGGACAGACCTATTCTTCCAACTGCCTGTTATGCTTGGGGCAGATGAGTATCTAAGATGGGTTCTAAAGAGTTCTGACTGGCTGGGCCTGGTGGCTCACACTTGTAATCCTAGCACTCTGGAAGGCTGAGGTGGATGGATTGCTTGAGCTCAGGAGTTGGAGATCAGCCTGAGCCGGAGTGAAACCCTGTTTCTACTAAAAATAGAAAAACTAGCTAGGTGTGGTGGAGGGCACATTTAGTCGCAGCTACTTGTGAGGCTGAGGCAAGAGGATTACTTGAGCCCAGGAGTTTGAAGTTGCTGTGAGCTATGATGTCACAGCACTCTATCCAGGGTGACAGAGTCAGACTCTGTCTCAAAAAGTCAGGATCCACTGGCTTCCAATTTGACTCCTAAATTTGCCCTGCAAGATGAGACTAAACCTCCTACTTCTCCTGAATTGGCAGGAAGGGGTTGGCAGCTTACCCTGAGCCACAGTGGCAGGGTTAAGATAGGCAAGATGCCCTCGATGAATTGGTCATAACTAACTCACAAAAAGGCTGACTTGCCAAATTTACTTGCTTCTTTTAACTCTTTGGTGTTAGTTATCTGGTTTTTCTTTGTTTCATGAAAGAGTTTTTTTTAGAGACAGAGTCTCACTTTGTCACCCTTGGTAGAATGCTGTGGTGTCACAGCTCACAGCAACCTCCAGCTCTTGGGCTTAGGCTTCAGCCTCCCGAGTTGCTGGGACTATGGGCACCTGCCACAACACCTGGTTATTTTTTTGTTGCAGTTTGGATGGAGCCGGGTTTGAACCGGCCACCCACGATATATGGTGCTGGTGCCCTACTCACTAAGCCACAGGTGCTGCCTTATTTTTTTTTTTTTTTTTGAGACAAAGCCTCACTCTGTCACCCAGACTAGAGTGCTGTGGCCTCAGCCTAGCTCACAGCAACCTCAAACTCCTGGGTTCGAGTTCTAGCAATCCTCTTGTCTCAGCCTCCAAAGTAGCCGGGACTACAGGCGCCTAAAGTACCTGGCTAAATTTTTCTATTTTTAGTGGAGACAGGGTCTCACTCTTGCTCAGACTAGTCTCAAACTCTTGAGCTCAAGTGATGCTGCTTCAGCTTCCCAGAGTGCTAGGATTATAGGCCACGCTTGGTCTCATAAAAGATTTTTAAAGAAAGTTCATTTTGCTTCTGCCATAGCTCCCTGAGATGGAGAAGGGGCCAGGGAAAGGCAGACATGAGACTCATGATGAAAAACAGATTCATAAAAATTCTTCATTATTGGACCAGGCGAGGTGGCTGTAATCCTAGCACTCTGGGAGGCTGAGGCAGGTGGACTGAGCTCACCTGAGACCGGCTAGAGCAAGAGCAAGATCCCATCTCTAAAAATAGCCCAGTGTTGTGGCAGGTGCCAGTTACTTGGGAAGCTAAGGCAGAGAGGAAAATTTAAGCCCAAGAGTTTGAGGTTGCTGTGAACTATGACACCATGGCACTCCACCAAGGGTGACAAAGTGAGACTATGTCTCAAAAAAAAACCCAAAAAACTTCATTTCTTCATTTTCAAGACTACTTTCTCACATGGGGAAAAACTCTCCCTTATGGAAGGAAGCTAACTAATAAATGTAGGAGGAAAAGAAGAGTTAGAAAAGTTCCTATTTCTGCCATCATAGTAATAACTGCTACAGGAAAGACTCATCAATAGATGCTAAAACCATCTAATGAAAGCTTTCTGGAAACAGGATATTTACAGACTCAAATCTCACAAACGGCTTATTGATTACAATGGGAGAAAAATCCTTTACAATGGAGAAAACTAACCAAGCAATCAAAATTAACATCCCCAGTAAAGGGCACACTGACATCCTGTGTCTCCCGGCAAGATGCACTTGGCAGGACACAGCATTGCTTATGCTGTATCAGGCCAAAATATAGAACCTAAATCTAATGAATAAGAAACATCCGGTCAAACCCAAATGTGGGGACATTTTACTTAACAACTGGCTCATGTGTTTCAAAAATGTCAAGGTTGTGAAGAACAATAAAAAGCTAAGAAAACGTTGCAGATTAAAAGAGACTTGAAGAGATGTAATTAAATGCAATATGAGAGTCTGGGTTGGACACTGAATTGGGAGGAACTGCCTATATCCACTGTACATGAGATAATGGTATCAATATTAAATTTCCTCTCAAAAGAAAAAAAGCTGTAAAAACAAACAAAAAACACTATTATTTTCATTGATAAAAAGGCTTGACATGGCTATAACCTTAAAGACTTATTCCTTAACTCTCTATGTCCTCTTCCCTTAGTGTCCTGTGAAGGTATTAGGGGGCCAGGGCCTAGGTAAGTTAATCTTTCCATAAAATGCTGCTATGAACTAAATGAAAAGTAGTCAATTAAAACTAGTTTAAAACAAATAAATAAATCTTTGGCCAGTTGAGCTGTTTTCCGAGAAGAGTGTGGTGGCTCTTTGCAGAAATTACTGGGATGTTGCAGATATCGGCTAGAAAGAATGCTCCTTCAGTGAGACACACAGGGAGGAGCTGTCATAGACTCTCTCTGTTTCTAAAATTCTGCCTGGTTTTCAGGAACTAGCTGGGGCCTTTGGTAAGAGCTCTCGGTCTGAAAGTTCCCTCAACTCTCTCACTAGCCTGTTTGCTCACTTGGATATGCAGGCAGCTAATGGCTGTGCTGATGTCAAGGTGAGGGCAGAAACACACAGCCCAGGCCAATATCACTTTCCTTCCTCAGTGCTACCCTTACGTCTCACCACTGCCTGCATAGTGCTTGGTCCCTGACAAGTGTGTGAGCAACAGTCACTGCATCAAGTATAAGCTGGCACTTGGCTTCTGTGCCCAGAAGTTGAGACATGGAATACTACTTTTTTTTTTTTGGCCAGGGCTGGGTTTGAACCTGCTACCTCTGGCATATGGGGTCAGCGCTCTACTCCTTTGAGCCATAGGTGCTGCCCTCTGGAATACTACTTCTTCTTCTTCTTTTTTTTTTATTAGACAGAGCCTCCAGCTATTCCCCTGGGTAGAGTGCTGTGACATCACAGCTCACAGCAATCTCCAACTCCTGGGCTCAAGCCAGTCTCCTGCCTCCGCCTCCCAAGTAGCTGGGACCACAGGCGCCCTGCACACCTGGCTATTTTTTGGTTGCAGCCATCATTGTCGTTTGGTGGGCCCGGGCTGGATTCGAACTTGCCACCTTAGGTGTATATGGCTGGCGCCTTAGCCACTTGAGCCACAGGCGCCAAGCCTGGAATATTACTTCTTAAGGTGCCAGAGAACACTCTGGAGAAATTTTAGAAGGCTCCAAAGTATCCAATTTCATCATTGTTCAGACAGACCCCAAAGTCCAGAGAGGAGGATGGAGCTGCTCAAAGTGACACTGTGTGTTAATAACTCGGCTAGCTCTCTAATTTTTATCTCTTCTTGCCTCTCAGATCTTTTCTGCAAGCTTAAATTTTTCTTCAAGGACAATATGCTGGTATCAAATTTCACTTGTCTGCCTTAACAAGTCTTTATTTTACCCTTATTCTTGAAAGATATTTTTATAGAGAATTCTAGGTTGATGTTAACTTTCAGGCAGTAAATTGAACACATTTCACTGATTTCTCGCTTCCATTGTTTCTGTTGAGAAACTAGCTCTCAATCTAATTGTCCTTTCTTTTAAGGTTATTTATTTATATAAGACTCATTTATATGAGTACCACTGTTGCCCGGCTAGAGTGCAGTGGCATCTTGATAGCTCACAGCAACCGCAAACTTCTGGGCTCAAGTGATCCTCTTCCCTTAACCTCCCAAGTAGCTGGGACTACATGCACCCACTACCATGCCCAGCTAATTTTCCTATTTTTTTAAGAGACTGGGTGGGATTTCACTCTTGCTTAGGCTGGTCTTGAATTTCTGAGCTCAGGGGATCCTCTCACCTCAGCTTCCCAGACAGCTAGAATTACAGGTATGAAGCACCATGCCCAGCCTTTGTGTTTTTTCTATGGCTACTTTTAAGGTCTTTTGTCTTTGGTGTAGTAGAATGGTAGCATTTCTTTTTATTTTGCCATTTGAGATTTACTGGCCTGCAGTCTGTGGATCATAGTACTTCATCAGTTCTGGTAATATCGTCATATATTGCCTCTCTCTCCTTTTCTTCCTCCTCTCTTTCTGGAACTTCAAATAGATCAGTAGTTCCCAATCTTTTTGGTGCCAGAACCAGTTTCATGGAAGACAGTTTTTCCACAGGGGTGGACGGGGGAGCTCAGGTGGTGATGTGAGCAATGGAGAATGGCTGGCGGTAAGTACAGAAGAAGCTGTTTCGTGATCACCTTTGCTCACCGCCTGCTATGCTGTCTGGGTTCCTAAGTTTCATGGAAGACAATTTTTCCATGTACTGGGGGGACAGGAGGAACTGGAGCTCTGTAGCCCAAGCACCGCAGACAGGTATCAAGGGTTGGGGACAGCAGAAATAGATGATTATTAGATCTTCTCAGTCTGCCCTTCAAGTATCTTAATATCCCTTTCACTGTTTTCATAGTTCTCTTTCTCTCCTTAGTTGTTTTAAACCTTATTCTATTATTAAACATTTGGTAGAAGGTTTACTATATATAGTGGAACCTGTGTAAGTTGACCAGCCAAGGACTGTAACAATCTGGTCAATATACGGAGTGGTCAATATAACTAACTAGGCCTACTGTACTGATAAGAACATGTGGTGCATGTCTGGTCTTTAAAAACTAGGTTAAGGAGGTGGTCAGTGTAGAGAGGTGGACAACTATGGAAGTTCTACTGTATTTTAATTCTGAGAGTTCTATTTGGTTATTTTCCAAATTTTTCCTTACTCATTTTTAAAACATTTCTTATTTATTAGAACATATTGAGCAAAATGGTTTTATATTGTTTCTTTTTCTTTTTTTTTTTTTTTTTTGAGACAGAGTCTCACTTTGTTGCCCTGGGTAGAGGGCTGTGGTGTCATAGTTCATAGCAACCTCAAACTCTTGGGCTTAAATTATCCTCTTTGGCCTCAGCTTCCCAAGTAGCTGGCACCTGCCACAACGCTGGGCTATTATTAGAGATGGGGTGTTGCTCTTGCTCTGGCTGGTCTTGAACTCATGAGCTCAAGCAATCCATCCACTTTGGCCTCCCAGAGTGCTAGGATTACAGGTATTGCTTCTGATCATCCCAGTATCTGCTAGTTTTCTTGATCTAGTTCTACCTGCTTCTTGTCGTATCAGCTGGCTCCTCCTCACAGTGCCTTGCTTCCTTACACATTCAGTGGTTTTTTACTCATTGCTCATCTTCCTTAGAACACTTATGTAAGCAAATTCAATGAATCCTGGAAGTGGGTTTTTGCAGAAAGGACCTGCACCTGATTCTCTAGGTGCCTGGAGTCACTACCAGTTGGGAACCACTTTCAGCCAAACTTTTCAATTTTGGCTTAAGGACTTTTGAACCATCCATGCATAAGAATTTGATTTGGAAACCTGAGTTTAAAATTCTCTGAGAAAACTTCCCTTTCACCCCTCATCTTTTGTTCAGGTTCCAATCAGACAGTTTATCTTACAGTTCTGGAGGGTGGGTTATAGATGGAGTGGTTTATTTCTTTTTTTTTTTTTTTTTTTTGAGACAGAGCCTCAAGTTATCCCCCTGGGTAGAGTGCCATGGCATCATGCTCACAGCAACCTCCAACTCCTGGGCTCAAGCGAGTCTCCTGCCTCAGCCTCCCAAGTAGCTGGGACTACAGGTGCCTGCCACAGCGCCTGGCCATTTTCTGGTTGCAGCCATCATTGTTGTTTGGCGGGCCAGGCTGGGGATTCGAACCCGCCACCTTAGGTGTACGTAGCTGGCGCCTTAGCCGCTTGAGCCACAGGCGCTGAGCCAAGTGGTTTATTTCTTATTCACCTTGAGTGCCCTTTGTGGGGAAGGGGCAGTTCTCTTGTTAGGCTAACTTCCCTGGGTCCAGCCATGATTTGAAAACCTTATCAATTTAGTTTTGCCCTTTAGGCAAAGATGCCTTCAGTGTTCTACTGACAGCCCTGGGCTTGCACCTTCAATCATTTGCCACCTGGTTACTCACTTGTCTCTTCTTTTTTCATGTTGGATCATATACCAGCCACAGAAACTGTTTTTATATTTTATATGGCACTGGGTTTCCAGGCGAACGACTAGATAAGGACCTGGCATACTAGGTTGTTAGAACTGAGCCCCATTTCCATCTAAATGTTCCCTCCTTCTCAGGACCCACAGTCCCAGTGTCTGCTGCCCATGTCAATGGCCATAGCCATACCAGCTGCAGCCTTGTCAGGGCAACCACTTACCCCTGGACGCGGACGGTGTGGGAGTGCTCGGTGCCGCAACCCGGCAGGCCATGAGGGGGGTCAATGGAGACTGAGAGGCCACGCTTGCCATGAGATGAGGCTGGGATGGAAACTAGGGTGACTGTGTGGGGCAGGTGGGAGCCAGGGGAGTCAGGCAGGATCTGCTCGATGACAGGGGTCACCACGGTCTGGTAGTAGCAGTGTCCACTGCAAGAGCAGCCAGCGGTAGGGACCCAAAGAGTGGGAAAAAAAGAGTGTCAAGATAGTCACCTGCATCAGCACTCCCCACAGCCCCTGTCCTGGGCTCTTTACTCTTCCTTTCTACCTCCCCTGGGAGGACTGGGAGCAGGACCTGAGCCTGTACCCCTAGCCCTTGACTCTGAGTCATTCTGGGTTTGTCTACTCTCTGTGAGGCTGTGAGATGGCCAAGACAAGCCTGAGGATAAATCTAGTTTAGGAGGAAGTCATTAAAAGCCCATCTGGGATCAAGTCATACTGTCCTCTAATTCAGCTTTATCAGTGTTATATAAGAAAGAATTCATCTGGTCTTTCTCCCCGGTTCCTGGGAGAGACTATGCCCTTGGAATAGGAATATCTCTGTTATTCATGAGCCCCTGGGACTACCTGAGTTTATGCTAATGAGATGACTCAGATGGGCATCCCTATCCCACCACAAAGACCTGCCATATGATTATAGGGTTGGGACTCTCAGCCTGCCTTACCTCTAGGGAGTAGGGCTAAAGACAAAGTTTAATCATGTGGCCAATGAGTCAATCAATCATGAATCTACAGTGAAACCCCAGTAAAAACTCTGGATGCCAGACTCAATGAAGCCTCTTACTTGGTGTATAGGCTGATGTGCCAGGGGAAGGAAGGGACATGTCTCTTCCTTTGGCTGGTCCTGAGCTGTACCCTTCACAGTAAAATTGCGATCCTAAGTGTAGGCTTTCCTGAGTTCTGGGAGCCCGTTAACAAATTATCAAACTTGATAATTCCTGAATTTTAGTCAGTTGGTCAGATGTGCAAATGGCCTAAGGACCCTGAACTTGGAGCTAGCACCTGAAGTGAGGACAGTCTTTTTTTGTTTGTTTTTTTTTTTTGAGACAGAGCCTCAAGCTGTCCCCCTGGGTAGAGTG